CAGCCAGGACAAGACGCGCGCACTGACCTGCGGTTCTCAAGTGCAAGTGCGGCTCCGTCCTCCTGAGCGCACCGCCGCTCCGGCTCCGCGCTCCAATAAGCGCTCCTGGTGGGGAGGTGTGGCTGCGCGCTGTCGCCTCCCACCCAGGGAGGGAGGCCGCTCCACTCCTCGGCACCCTCCTCCTCCCCAGGGCATGGATGGGCAGAGCTGAGGTCCCTCGTTTGCTTTCTCCTCTTATGAAATAATGTGGCCACGTCGTTTCTGTTGTTTTTAAAAAATCATTATAATAACACAGAGAGGTCCTGTGCATCCCTCACCTGGTTTCTCCCACTGATTCCATCTTACTTCAATCCGGGAGAGCTCGGCACAGGTCGTGTGTGTGTGTGTGTGTGTGTGTGTGTGTGTGTGTGTGTGTGTTGGGCGGGAGGGGAGCCTGTGTCATTTTATCCCAAGTGAAGACCCCTGGAACCACCACCAGAATCTGGCCAGGGAGACCTCCATCCTGCCCCCAGCTTTCCCACCACCTCCCACTCCTCCCAGTCACCAATCTGTCCTCCAGCCCAGTGCTACTTCTGACGGAGGTTGTGTACACGGGCGGTACAGGGCACAGCCTGTGGATGCTGACTTTCCCACTCAGCACAGGGCCCTTCAGATCCGTGCCGCCGTCGGGTATGTCCGGGCTCCTGTTTGTGGCTGGGGATGAATCACAGCTCCTTGCACCAGTCACTGCTGTGGGCCTGCGGGTGTTTCCCGTGTGGGGTTATTACAAGGAAAGCTGCTGTGAAGGGTCGTGTCCAGATGTTTTGTGTAGACGTAACGTTTTCATTTCCCCGGGAAATGCCAAGAAGTGTGCTGGTTGAGTTTATGGTTTGTATGTTTAGGTTTTAAAGAAATTGCCAGATCGCTTTCCAGAGTGGCTTATACCATGTTATATTCCCACCAGCACTGTATGAAATTCGGTCTCTCCACATCCTTGCCAGCTTCTGACGCTGTCTATTTTTTTTTTTTTTTTTTTTTTTTGGCGGTTGTGAGTGTGTAGCGATACCTCACTGAATCTTCATTTGCCTGACAGCAATGCTATGGAACATCTTCCAGGCACTTATTTGCCATTCCGGGTGTCCAGCGTGTGCCTTGCCAGTATTCTAATTGAGCTGTTTGGCTTATTAGCTGTTGAGTTTTAGGGGCTCCTTTCATAGGCGAAACACCAGTCCTTTGCCAAATCACTGGTTTGCACATATTTCCTTTGGTCTGTTACCTTGTTATGTATCCTCTTAACAGAGCCTCACAGGTCACAGTTTTTCATTGCAGTGAAGTCCCATTGATCAATTTCTCCTTTTATTGATTAGACTTTTGACGTCCCATTGAATTCTTCACCAAGTCCGGTGACTCCAAAGTTGCTTCTATGTCTTTCTCTGTGAGGCCAGAAGTTGGAAATAACTCACGTGTCCATCATGAGTGGGTGAGCAAATGTGCCCTGCACATACCATTTTACTCAGCCTTCACGAGGAAGGACATGCTCACACAGGCTGCAGCATAGATGAGCCCAAGGACAGTGTGTCAGTGACATCCACCGGTCACAAAAGGACAGCACAGCGAGGCTCCGCTTACCTGCGGGGTCTGGAGACATCAGGGTCACAGAGGCAGAGAGCAGGTGGCTGGGGGGCAGGGAGCAGGGCACAGGGCCTTGTTATTTCCAGGTGCGGAGTTCCAGATTTGCAAGATGAGAAGACTTCTGACAGCCATGGGAACGTACTTACCGCTGAGCTGTACACTCAAACGTGGTTAAGATGGCAAATGTTACGTATATGTCACCACAATTTCTTCCAAAAGGAAAAGACTGCAATAGTGAACCGCGCTTTATAGGCATTATTTTATTTCATTTTCACAATGACTGTTCATCGTCCTTTCTATGCAAATGAAAAGGGGAGGCAGAGAGACTATTACGAAACTCCCTCAAGATCACACCGTTACAAACTGTTAGTTTGCTTCTCAAAATTCCGGGCAGTCAGACTCTTAAGCCCGTGCTGTCTTTATTACAAAGCAAGGGGCTGTAAACTAGCGGGACAAGACCAGGAGGAGGCAGCGACACGGGGGCATGAGGCTGATAATGAGGCCGTGGGCAGGCGTCGTACCAGCAAACCTGGTTCCAGGACACTACCGCCGGGTAGGTTACCCAGCCACCAGCTCCCTGACAATGAGGAAGCCGGGGCCCAAGGAGAAGCATCGCGGACCATTGCAGTCCTCGTGACCTAAAAAAGGAAGGAAGGAAGCAGACATTTCCCTCGCTCTGGACTCAGAGGAATTTAGCTCCTTAGTTTTTACATAAGAAATCTCAAAGGACACAATGTACCACGTGCCCAATAGCAGCGAGCGGTCTGCAGGTGGCCGTTCACAATGCAAGCCGAACGGCAATCATGGCTCTGAAAGCGGTTTGTACAAAGACCAGGAGAATAACACCTCGGCGTGCTGCTGCCTGCTGATTGGGCCCAGTGGGAGAGAGCTTCGGGAAGGGTATCACCATTCCTCTCACAGAGACCAGCCCTGACTCACTGCCAGGCTGTGGGCAGGGCGCGCAGAGGGTGCGGAGCCACAGTGAGACACAGGTTATCTCCGCGGCGGATTGGAAAGAGATCACGTGTTCTGCACACAACGTGTCCCTCAGTTCGTTTCAGCACATTAAGGGGCTCAGCTGCATTGTCTGCTATTCAGGTGGACCCTGCCCATTCGGGCCAGCTCAGCACCCGCTTGTGTAACGTGCAGCCTGAGAATCCGCCTGACCGACGTGGCAGAAGAGCCACCACTGAAAACCTTCCGGAAATCAGGAGGCCGAGAAAACCGGTGTCAGCTAGACATGGGTGAATGGTCACCTTCCCCCCAGAAGGCAGATGGGGGTTTTAAACCACGCATGTGCCCTGGCTGGTTTGGCTCACTGGAAAGAGTGTCAGTCTGCGGACTGAAGGGTCCCAGGTTCAATTCCAGTCAAGGGCACATGCCTGGGTTGTGGGCTCACTCCCCAGTAGGGGACATGCAGGAGGCAGCCAATCAATGATTCTCTCTCATCATTGATGTTTCTGTCTCTCCCTTTCCCTTCCTCTCTGAAATCAATAAAAATATATATTTTACACACACACACACACACACACACACACACACGGCCAGTGAGATTGCAGAGGGCCTTGATAAGGAGCAAGGGTCGTCAGCACAGGTTTCTGGGAGAATGGTTGTGGCGAAGACTGCGTTACACAGGGGTTGCTAGGATCCCAGCTGACCTATAGTCTTGGGATGGCAAGAACTATGGTTCTACTGTGAGCAGTTTTAAAAAAATCATGTTGTGGACGAAAGGGGCCACATGCTGATCTGACAAGCTCAGGGGAGGCCTGCATGGCAGTCTTGCAAACTCAGAGACCTAAAGTAACCACAAAGTATGGTCTGAAATGAAAAAAAAGGTAGTTATGGTGGGCAGTTATGTCCTAGGCCAGTATCTTCACTGACAAGATCAACTTTGATCCTTACTGAGCCCATTTGCCTTTTTGCCTCTAAGATAACATACCCTTGA